AAGAGGAGTCCTTTTTAATATTAATAAAAACATATTAAAAAGAGTCCTTTTTTCCCCTGAAGATTTTTAAGAATTTAATACAAAAGAAACTCAATTTCAGGTTTTCTTCCTTTGCTTAGCTATTCCCAGATCTCTTCAACAGGTTGTAATTTCTTTCACCCTGTGAGGGGAATTTTTTTATTTTTTTTTTTTTTTTTTTAAATCAAGGGTGAGCTAAGGGCCTCATCTGCCACAGCAGGTCAGGTGGAATCAGTTAATATCTCTCTGGAGATGGGCAACATCTACAAGCAGGGAAGATCAGTTGAAAACTGTTATCTCTGTCCAGGTTGTTAAAGTAAGGGATTCTTGGAACCCGCAGTCAAAATTCTACAGAGGTTTCTGTTTCTTTCTGCTAATCTTAAATATTTTTCCCTTGTGGTAGGAGGTGATGCTTTACGACTTGACACACTTCTGGAGTGGTGGAGAGAAAAGAACGGCACTTTTTGTTCTCGACTCATCATCGTTTTAGACTGTGAGAACTCTCAGCCTTGGGTTAAAGAAGTAAGAAAAGTAAATGACCAGTATGTTGCAGTGCAAGGAGCAGAAATGGCCAGAGTTGTAGACATCGAGGAAGCAGACCCTCCACAGCTTGGTGACTTCACCAGGCAGTGGGTTGAGTACAACTGTAACCCCGACAGCAACATCAGCTGGTCCGAAAAGGGACGTACAGTGAAAGCGCTGTATGGTGTGTCAAAACACTGGAGTGACTACACTTTGCATTTGCCAACAGGAAGTGATGTTGCCAAACATTGGATGATATACTTTCCACGTATCACCTATCCGTTAGTACATTTGGCAAACTGGTTTTGTGGTCTCAATCTGTTCTGGGTTTGTAAAGCGTGCTTTAGGTGCTTGAAAAGATTGAAAATGAGTTGGTTTCTTCCCACAGTGCTGGACACAGGACAGGGTTTCAAACTCGTCAAATCCTAATTAGCAACCAAAGAGGAAATGAAGTGAGAGCTCTGGGAATTTTCTCACTTTACTGTACTTAAAACTTTTTATATGACTATTTTTCTCTGAAAAAAAATGGCTACACTCACTTTATTCAGCTCTTTGAGCAGCTACAGTATATGCAACAGTTAGAAACTGCACTATTGAATAGAAGTGGGTAGGACTATAATATTTGAGTTTTGTTACTGGTCTGTATGTACATATGTACGAGACTTATTTAATATGACCATGCATTTTGGAGACAGTTCGCATGTTCATATGCATTACTTAAAGCAGCCTTCGTTCAGAGTCACCAGTTTGATGGACAGCAGCTCCTGTGATTGTTATAGCATGCTTATTTGTCATTTATATCCCCTGTAAGGTTCAAAGACAGGAAAGGAACCAAGCTAATATTCAAATCAACATATATTTCCTTGAAATTATATGGTGGGGTCAAGGGTATTATAAAACAGCACTGAGTGAAAAAAGAGAAGAATGAATAGCCATGGTAGGTAAGTAGCTACCATGAATCTTTAGTTTTATTTGTTTTTGCATCTTCAGCCCCTGACTCAGTTCTCTACTGCCATCAGTGAAAATTTGCTACAGAAAACAAGGAAATTGACAGCCCTCTAACATTCTGATGTTGCTCAGAAATTTTATGGAGTGCAGTTTTAAAAACTTTCAGTGTTATTTTCAAAATTCAGTATCTTGCTGGTGATCTTTTTTTTTTTGGTGAATCTTCCCAGTAGTTAATTCATATACAGAATAAAAAGTGCACTGAGAGTTTTTCCCTCACCTGTTAGGGTAGTTCTGTCTTTCCCAGGCTCTTACTAGTTTGTATTTTGAAAAGCTGCCTTGAAGAAAAAGAACTAAAACCCCAGGAATTTAACAAAGAAAATAATCCATAGATAAAAAATGGAAATTCAAGTGTTCTTCCAAGTTTATCTGAAGTCTTTGCTGTGCCTAAGTCCTTGATTCTGTAAAATGCTGAGTACAGGATTCTGAGTTCATTATCTATTAAAACCACAAGTGAAGTTTGTCAGAAAAACAGATTATTCCCTTAAGACAGGAGTGAATCCTGAGTATTCCTCAGCTCTGTTCTCCCAGCCACAAGGTCCTAATCTTAATCCTTCCACTTACAGGGCTGGTTGAGACTCTGTCCTGGCCTTTCCTCTTCAGTCAGAGAAGCTGCATAGCTTTCTGATCCTGTTTACTCATGTGCAGAAAATAAGGAATGAAACAACGAAGTGGCTAAGACAGTACAATTTGTGGTGGGTTTTTTGCATATGTGTGCAATCCAGTAGACCTAGAGTTTACCTTTTTCTGTTTTCATCAGTATTTTAATAAAAATCTTAGGCGTTAGCTGATATTTGTCTAAAATATAACTTATTGATTTTTTTATTTAAATAACTGAAAACACTTCAGGAGCTCTTTAAGTCTTTGCCATCAAAGAGGTTTTTCTAATTCCATTTGAACTTTTTAGACAGATAAGTTAGAGTCTGCTAACACTGATACCCATTAGTACCTCCGGAAAAAAAAAAGTAATTTTAAATTATGAGATCTGCAGTAGCCAGAGTAATTTGCACCCAACAACTTCAAAATGTTGATTTTTAGTATTTACAAGCGACAGTCACAAAGTTTCTTCATTAGTGTGTATTACACAGCCTTGTTTAGCAAGACATCACCACTCACCCAGTTTTGCCTTTCTCCATCCCCTTCCATAGAGTGAAAAGGGGATAAAGAAATGCAAGATGAGATGAGACATCCTGCCACAACTCCATTCCATTGGGTCTTCTGTAAGTCAATGCTGTGATTGCAGCTCTGTCACAGATTCAAGAGGTAGCTGAGCTGTTCTCAATAAGGACGGAGGGTAATCGCACCATCTAACTTCAGGTATCAAACTTCAGTTTCTAACATGGGAGCCTGAGGTAGAAGTCATCTCATTAAAATTCAGATGTCTGAAAGCTAGTCACCTGAGTCCATGCTAGGGACCTGAAGTGCTCCGCTGCTCATTAACAAAGAGAAAAAAATATTTCCAGAAGAAGACTTCTGATCTCCATTTTAGGATGGATTTTCCTGTGATTGTGCCTATTGCATTTGTTTTGGTTTTGCTTCCATATGCCAAAGGTCAAGCAGGCAAATCCCATGTGTCTGTTTAATAACCTTAGAGCACTTCTGTTCTAAGTCATCCTCTGGAGCCTCAGCTGGGTACGTAAACTCCCCATTCAAGCACGTAAATTGGATACTTGAAGTTAGGCTGAATGAGAATCCGTCAAGTTGCAGAAAAGCAGCACTGCCTCCTCTGCAGAAGTAATTTTCAGCCATTTCTGGCCAACAACCTTTGAGTATAAAGAAAAAAGACTGTATAAAGGCAGTCATATCGTTCGTAAAATCACCATTATTTTGATTGCTATTTCAGTAAAAAATCATCTGAATGCATCATAAAATGTTCCAACTAGAGCACTAGAAATTTTTAACAAATTCCCTGTAAAGCCATGCTGTAATACATGTGTGCTGTGAACATTTGAAAGTCAAGAAGTGAGTCCTTTCTGTTTTGGAAAAGCTTTGAATATCAACCATAACACTTCCCACTAGTTACAATCGATAAATCTTAGTCTGTGTCTGCTACTGTTATGTTTTTCTGGACATCATCTGTATCTTTGTTTTTGTACATCAAGGGGAACAGGAAAAGTGTGGGACTCCTGACCTCTCCAGGGACTGTGAGCAGTATCCGCTCTGCAGCGCAGTGGTGGGCCAAGCTTTGGGCAGAACAAACACAACAGTTGGTGCTCATCTCTTGCCTCTGTTTATTGAATGATTTCCGGCTTACTTATCAAACTGTTAGATTTTCTCTAGGATAGACCAGGTGATCTTTCACAGTTTGCTGAAAGTTAGATAAAGTGTCAGCTAAAAATATAGCAAAAAGATTATTTGCAAAACTAATCATATGCTTGCCAGTTTGTTTCACTTTTCTCAATTAAAGAACTCCAGTTTTCTGAATGTGAAATAGCTTAAATATTCCTACTTCTGATTTTTTATCATTTTTTTAAACAGTAAAGGCATGGTGAAAATGCTGGTTTAAACTAAAATAAATGTTTACAGCCATTTGAAATGGTGAGGCCTTTCTGGACAAAGAGACTATCTTGTGTGTTTCAAAACGCAGTAAAACCCAGGGTGAGCCTCAGGAATTCAACAGTATTAATTCCCTGCTTCTACACCAACTAATACCAAGGTGTCCTACTGTAACCCATGTTCCCAGGGGGAGATTTTCTCCAGCTCCTGGCACTCGCATAACTCTGGGTCTCTGCCCAGCCCCAGGCACCTGCCTAAGGGACAGGGCACCAGCAGCTCTTAATGGCAGTGAGGAGTGACCCCTCTGCTGTTGCCACTATGAAATACAGGGACAATGCCTGAAAGAGAAGTGTAAATCTAATTCCAACGAATGTTACGTGTAAATGCTGTCAGTTACGTACATTTAATGTGTTTTTCTTTAGCAGTAAGATGCTTACGAATTGTCTGGATGGAGAAAATCTGAAGTTCTTTTTTAGAGGCTTGTCTCTGTACTGTGTATTCAGAGATGTTGTTATAAAGCTTGTTATAATTTTTTATCAAGGCAGTAATTTTATGTTGACTTTTTCATTTGCCTCCTGTATAGTATCAGCCTTGCTGAAACATGTAAATGCACCAAGCCCTACAAATTTAAGTCTTTTGAAGGAATTATAATTGCAAATTCACAGTAGTATTTTTCTCTGAAAAAGTATTGGGGGAGAAAAGCCATTGTTTTTCACTTTGCACTACCAGAGTTACATATTTGCGGCTATGGTTTGTTATGCCTTGTGATTGTCCAGCCTTCAGTTCAAGTTTTTCCCAGAAATAATTTCTTCACCTTTACTGAGTGTTCCCTTTGTTTTGCAGAGGCATAATTAATGCTATGCTAGCTGTAAAGCACCCGTGTTGCCAGAAGCAGGCAGTGTAACTAAGTTAAATTTCTTGTTCATAAATACCTTTCTGTGGGAGGATTTTTACTGGACATACTGAACTGATTTTAGATCTGTAAATAGATTTTTTTGGTGTGTTTGTGATATTGCTTAAATATATTTTGCTGGTTTGGATGCTCATTTCCATTTCATGTTTTTGTTTATGCCTTGATCACTTCCAAAACTTCTGTGTTCCCTCTTGAATTACATGGTTTTTTTCTGTACAGCTTGTTTCAGAGTTGTTTTGGTTTTTTGGGGGTTTTTTTAGCTAGAAACTGCAACAGAGTTTATGGAAAATAAGGATTATCTGTAGTTTAACAATTTCATAAAAATGAGAAATATGAGCTTAAATTATTAGCACACATTTCACCTTGCCATTTTTTGTCACTTAGTCAACAAACTAGTAAAAAAGTTGTTTATGCCTTGAGACATTATTTTATAGATACTTAATTGATTGAGAGTTCATTTACATGAGTATTTGTATTTAGTCAAACTTGTCATCTTCTGTAAGGTCTGACTCTAAAGTTAACCGAGGGTTCCTGTCTGAGTTAGATCAAGCCTAGAAGAGCAAAGCAGAAGGACACTGTGACGCTGCCAAATGCTGAGGAGGTCAGATCTGCACATCTGCTCCTCTCAGAAACTGCCGGGGAGGTTCCTGCTCATGAAACAGTCCCAGCATTACCCTTAATCAGCTGAGGCTGAGCCATGCACCTCTCAGGGAGGACTTCTGTGGGCAGTGTAGGATAAGCAGAGCTGCTAGTGTGATGAGGGGTGACGGGCATGGCAGGGCTGATCCAGTGTGCCAAGCTGCAGAGAAGAGTGCAATGAAGATTTAGTGGCACTTTTTTTTAAACAGGAGAAAATTAATTTTTACTTCTTCTAAGTATGGAATGGATCCATTACTTTTGCAACTTATTAATCAGTGTTCCTTTTTTATTAAAGTTCTGTAGATCTTTCTGCTCAATCTCAAATTCAGAGGTAACCCGAGAGAGCAGCCCAGCTCACCCTCAGCACCGCCCTGTAGCCATTCTAGTCTCTTCAGATGGAGCCTGGCAACCCACAGTACGTCTGCATCCATGGCACAGGGTTTGAGCTTTTGGGATTTATTTTTGTTAACTTTTTTGTTAACCCAGGAAATAAAAGTCAGTGTAAACAGCCATATGAATGTTCAAATAGTGTTTCTTCTTAGGTGCTGTTACCTATTTGTGTTGGAAGACAAGTGTAACATAAGCACTTCTAGTGTGTGAAATTCCATTCTCTCTAAAATTGGTCTGTTTCTGAAAAACATTCTGCTGTTGAAATAATGCACTTGTCAGTTAGGAAA